ATCCAGGAAGGTCTCAGGCCACATTTTAAGTGTAGTTGAGACGAGGTTATCAATTCGCACAAAATCAACAAGATAATGCGTTACTCTGTAACGCCTAAAATTGTAAATAGTTTAAAATTCAACATGAGTAATTACTCTGACTTATAAATATTGACATGGCGGAGAATGATGTGGCATATCTCTCTGTATACCAGTTATCAATTTACAATCGCACAAGTTCTTGATTAATTGCGATTACTGAAACTGCAGCGGATCATTTGTGATAAGAAACAAAACAGTGGTATTGGAATTTCTTACAATGACGAGTGTTTCATTCAAAACTGCAACGAAAATAATATGTCTCCGTCTGTCTTATGTTAACATAGAAATTAGGAAATTCATAAAATAAGGATTGAATGTCCCCCGGACTGACATAGTCTATGGCTTACTGGGAAGATTTGGAAGTCAGGAAATGTAAAAGACTGAAAAATTAACAAAACTTGACATTGTGTTTTGATTCCACTTGCATACAAAAGGTTTGCTTTACAAATTAAATTATAATCACACCAAACACTGAACAACTGATCGATTTGTCGTTACTCACGATCCCTCCGATGTGATTGGCGAAAAGAAGTGATCGATCATAAAACACGGTCATTTATAAGCTTGCGAGAAAAAACCCGTTTTCAAAAGGGCATGAGCCGGACTGAAGAGGAAGTTTAAGAAAGTACTAAAGAGTTATCAACCACTGAGAATTTGATTCTGTCTTGAGTGCTAGGCGTGAAACTGAAACGGTCGAACTCAATGAATTTCTTCCTCAAAGCTCTACTGTGCGCTATTTTGGTGAAGGCCATTGCAAAATCGGCGGTCCCCACAAAAAGTGGTACTGATGCTAGGAAACCACAGTGTAACGTAAACAACTACTTTTATGCCGGACCGAATACTAAGAAGATCGAACAACAACTGGCCGAAATCAGAGAAGAAATCAAGTCGCTCAAAGAAAACGGAACTGGTGGTGGCGGTTCTAGCGGCAAAGGTATATTTCTTTGAACATCGCTCTTTTCACTGTCTTTTAGCGCTCTGATCCTAGCGATTTAGTACTATCTTTTAAGCGCGCTTATCGTCTGCAAAAGATTGATCACTTGTGTTTCGGTTCACGGCTTAACAGCAGCCCGGAGGTTTTACGACTTAAACGGCCTACTCGCTGACGGGCAAGCGAGGTAAGTGCCAATGAGTGCGTACATTCATCTTATATTGGTCTATATTAGCCCCGGTTCAACGAGGGTCGTTTTCAACTTTAGGATGAGTAAGTAAAGCCCACTATTCCATATCTACTGTCGAAAAGAAGAGCCCAAAACCATCAGCAAGAAAATAATAAGCTGTTCATAAATTTGCGTATAAGTATCCAATAAGTTTGAGTATAGGACTGTCATATCATCATATCACTAGTACAAGTGGCTCCTGCGGAAATTCACACGAATACGATTTTCATTTACAATTTTCCTTTTCCAGTAGTCAAATCATCGTAAAGAAATCATCGTAAAGCTTTATTTAAGCCTAGTTATTTCTTTTCTATTTTCAGTTTACAAGAACTGTGCCGAAATTTACCAGTTCGGTATAAAGATCAATGGAGTGTACAAAATCAATCCTGATGGTTTGGGCGAATTTGAAGTGTACTGTGATCAGAAAACTGCTGGTGGAGGTTGGACAGTTTTCCAGAAGAGGCAAGATGGCTCTGTGGATTTTTACCGCAATTGGGACGACTACAAACGAGGCTTTGGTAATCTGAACGGCGAGTTTTGGCTCGGACTGGACAAGATTCATCGCCTGACTGTAAGCGGCAGTTACAAGCTTCGCGTGGACTTGGAAGATCTTCAAGGCAGTCCAGCATTTGCAGAGTACAGTTCATTCGCTGTGACGAGCGAGAGGGTGAAATACAAACTGAGTTTGGGCAGTTATTCAGGTACGTCTTTTTAGGACACTTCAGTATGCAATTTTCCGCCCAAGATATCGAATATGAAGAAAGCCCCACGTATCAGGCCTTCTATCATTTGCCCGTTTCTCTTCTTTCTCCAAANATATTGGTCTATATTAGCCCCGGTTCAACGAGGGTCGTTTTCAACTTTAGGATGAGTAAGTAAAGCCCACTATTCCATATCTACTGTCGAAAAGAAGAGCCCAAAACCATCAGCAAGAAAATAATAAGCTGTTCATAAATTTGCGTATAAGTATCCAATAAGTTTGAGTATAGGACTGTCATATCATCATATCACTAGTACAAGTGGCTCCTGCGGAAATTCACACGAATACGATTTTCATTTACAATTTTCCTTTTCCAGTAGTCAAATCATCGTAAAGAAATCATCGTAAAGCTTTATTTAAGCCTAGTTATTTCTTTTCTATTTTCAGTTTACAAGAACTGTGCCGAAATTTACCAGTTCGGTATAAAGATCAATGGAGTGTACAAAATCAATCCTGATGGTTTGGGCGAATTTGAAGTGTACTGTGATCAGAAAACTGCTGGTGGAGGTTGGACAGTTTTCCAGAAGAGGCAAGATGGCTCTGTGGATTTTTACCGCAATTGGGACGACTACAAACGAGGCTTTGGTAATCTGAACGGCGAGTTTTGGCTCGGACTGGACAAGATTCATCGCCTGACTGTAAGCGGCAGTTACAAGCTTCGCGTGGACTTGGAAGATCTTCAAGGCAGTCCAGCATTTGCAGAGTACAGTTCATTCGCTGTGACGAGCGAGAGGGTGAAATACAAACTGAGTTTGGGCAGTTATTCAGGTACGTCTTTTTAGGACACTTCAGTATGCAATTTTCCGCCCAAGATATCGAATATGAAGAAAGCCCCACGTATCAGGCCTTCTATCATTTGCCCGTTTCTCTTCTTTCTCCAAACAGGTCAAGAAAAGCGTTAGTGCCGAGGCTACATGCAGCCTCGTCCCCAGATCATTTCGCGCTATGCGAATAGGGTTTTTAAAATACCACGACGGCGACGACAACGAGAACGTCAAAAAGCAATGCTTTAAGATTAGCAAAACAACAACTCTGTACGTGCATCACGCTTTTTTGATAATTTCTTTGCCGTCACTGGACGGGAAAATGCCTAATTTCACGTTTTTTTGGAGGACGTAAACAAGCGATGCTAAATTTTCCTTCTCTTTCTGAACTTAAATATGGTTCTATAATAAGAATTCGGCTCAAAAAATAGTTCGTTGCATTTGATAAAGTAAATGAGTTAAAGTCACCGCGATAAAGGTTGAAAGAACCCAAATTCACCTTTCGAGCGACGTTTTTGTGGCCGTCGCCGTCGTGGTATCTTAAACCCCCTAATGATCGGAGGAGGCTGGTGACCGAACGTCCAGGGCGAATACTGCCGACATACTTAAAAGGGGACGTCACCTCAAAACTCGCCGAAGACTACTGGTAATGATACTGGGCTATATAATATAAATGCAAATCTACACTGACTATAATTCACGGTGGTGTTGTTGTTGTCGTTTTTGAAGGTACCGCTGGAGATTCCCTTGGACATCACAGGGGACATCCATTTACCACCAAAGATCGTGACAATGACAGCAACAGTGGTAACTGTGCCTTGAAACATAAAGGCGGCTGGTGGTACACCGATTGCTACCACTCCCACCTGAATGGTTTGTATCTTCACGGAAAGGACAATATTCAAGGAATGGTGTGGTACAAGTGGAAAAACAACCACTACTCTGTGAAGAGATCTGAGATGAAGATACGTCCAAAGGATTTTTAAGATTCAATTAAGATCGTTTCTGTCAGTAAAAACCACGTAAACAAGGGACATTAAAAGCGTGTAATCAGGTGTTAAATTGCAAGGGTGATATTTGCTTTAAATTTTATTGTTATTGCGCTGAACTTTAAACAGACATAAAAAAACCATGTAGAGTTTGAAAATCTCATCATTAAGTGAATATTTACCGATGAACAAGGGTCCATCTGCCGAGTTGAACCGTGCAAGATGACGAATTTTTTTCATACATGAAATTATCAAACTTGGAGTAATATATAATAGGTTGTAAGACTACCGCAGAAAGGGTGCAATAAAATTGTTACTAAGGTGTGGAATTTAGAGTTTTTGTTTCTTTGTGTGTGTGTGTGGGTGGTTGCGCGCGCGCGTGTGTCTGAGTTAAAACCGCATTCTAGTCTTCTCAAATAGACGATGAGCGTTTTAGGTACTTTGTTAGCCTCCAGTTTATGATCTTTTTTAAACACGTACAATCCATTTTTTGGCGAACCGAAGGCCAAGGAATGGCTTGGATGTTTGTAGCGATCGTGTGTACCACAAACGCAAATCTTTAATATACAATGGCAGAGTACATTTAATCCGACCAATAAAGTAGTAGAAAAAACTCGACAAACAGTTATTTACAGCGCAAGTTGTACTCCCACCAAAAACATCGGTGGATCTGCGACATAAACTGTTGTAGTTAACGAAAACTGTTCCCCCTTTAAACCATCCTACATTAATCATGTATGAAGTTTAGCACTTGTGAAGGATATAAAAAAGCAAAATTCCTCTTGGTTATTAAGGTTCTTTCTTTAACCTTCCTTTTAAACTTTTCACGTGGAATTTGAGAATACTGTTGTCAAAAACTTATTTCGTTTTGATCTATTTAAAGAGCAACCGAAAACAATGTTCCAAGTGAAAAGAAGTTGTTCACTTGCAATTTCCACACAAAATTGCCCCGAAATTTTTTAACCACTTTAATTTCTTCATTTCTTGGGAGGCGACCGACGTAATTTGACTCCAGGTCAAATTAGAAACGAATAAAACCGATCAGGTGATGAATTACAAACTATAAGTAACACGATACTCATTTAACTGTTTTAAGAAACCACGATAACTTAACGAGAACACGCGACAGTCTCATGGATCTCACGCCCCGCACAGTTATCCGCCCCTGATGCTTCACGACTGTGTTGGTTATCCTGTGGTACTTAAACTGGGGTGTTAAAAATGAGAACGTGTCGGCCATCTTAGTACGGTCTGTAACGGTAACTGGAAAGCGGGTACGAATGGCGACGATCATCCTGAGGTACAAACAAAACCACAATTAACAAGTTGTCAATTTAATTGCGCATGCGCGGTAATACTGAGGACAGCGCATAAGGCACATCCGGGATAACTGAACTACAAAGTCGACATGAATTCACCCACTCATTATCTTAGCAATCGTCTTAATAGTGTACTTGTAACTTTCTGATTTATACTCTGAATTCAAGTTAACCTTAGCATTGTTTCAAGCATGTTAACTTTTCTTCTGTTCTTCTTCTGTTCTTTATCATTTGTACATTTATATAAATTACTTTTGTTTACTTGTGAATTTGAATATAATTTGGAGTGCGTACTTTGTATTTTTTTTAATACATGCACTGCCCACCTAAACTAGCCTTTGCTATTTGAGGGCAGTGAGAAAATAAAATAATTAAATTCAAAGTTACAATTACAATTATTGTAAATTTGAATTAACCGATGAAAATGAAATGAAATGATAGGGCATATGTTTATCCAAAAATGACAAATTATTAGCAGCCATGCAAGAAGGCTCAGCAAAGTAGTTCGGTTGTAACGATAAGAGGTTGATGATTTGGTTTAATCGTTAAACTTACCCCGTTGGGAGGTCCTTGTCGATTGTAATGCTGCTGCTGTCTAGGGTCACGTGACGAGTGTTGATAGCTACCGCGAGAGTACTGAGATTGACTCGACCCAGGTCCTCGAGAGTATGCGTTTGATTGTGACCAGTTCCCTTGGTATTGCTCGAGTTGTACTGGGATCTGTTACCTTGGTAACCCCCTGAATTGTAATAGGATTGGTTGCCTTGGTAACCTCCCGAGTCGTACTGTGGAGCGCGATTTCTGTCATAGATCTGTCGTCTTGGATCATGATTACCACGTGACGATACACGTGTACCCGGATTGGATCTTGGACGATCAGGGTAACCATGCCTGGAATCATTCTGCGGAGAGCATGAGTTCGACCTAAAGGGCGGCACATAGCTGGCAGGAGTGTAGGGACGAAAAAGATCCCCTTTGTGAAAACTGAGAGAGAAGAAACTGAAGAGAGAAAAACTGTCATGGAAATATTACGCTTAAAAGAGAACAGCGTATATCGCTTCCTTCAGATGCGTTATGAATATATTGAATAGTATATGTAATAAGACTACATGCTGTCCAATTTGGAAATAATTGGATGAAAAAAATTCCGAGGACAGGCAAAATTTGTAATTTCTACCCCTTAGTGACAAGACGGGTATCCCAGTCATTTTCATACGATAGTCCCGTGCGAAAAATCCGGGAGTTCCCCCCGCGAAGCCTCATCAGAGGCCGTTAGGTGTAAATTCGCACAAATTAAAAAAGATAATGTGACACTCTGTAACGCTTGAGTGAATAAACTAAAATAAAGTAGTTTACAATTCAACATGAATGCAATAAATTAATATCGACGTAGCGGCGACTGAGGTGCGGTGGCTAGTCTCGACTCGCTGTTTACCGGTTATCACTTTACAATCACACAACTGAGTTCTTGTTCAATTACGATTTTTAGACTCAATGCAGCTGCTAAAAAAAAACAACAAACAAACGAAAAAAAGCAGTAGCATTGGAAGTTCTTACAATATCGGGTGCTGGATTCAAACCTGCGACGAAAATAACATGTCTGTGTCTGTATTATGTTAACAAAGAAATTAGGAAATAAAAAAAATGTTACGAAGGAATTGAATGTGCATGGAACTGATGATAACAGTTCATGGCACACTGGGAAGTTTTGAAAGCCAGAAAAAAATATATTAGGTTTTGTAAAAGACTGAACAATTTATAAATCATGTTGTTTTGATTTCACTTGACTACATAAAGTTTGCCTAACAAAACAAATAGAATTATAATAACATCATCATGAAACAACAACTGCTTTGTCCTTACTCAAGATTGTTCAGTGTGATTGGCGAAAAAAATGTGTTCAAAACACGCTGTCAATAATAAGCCAACGAGAAAAATCCCGTTTTCAAAAGAGCATGAGACTGAAAGGGAAGTTCAAGAAAGCCCTAAATAATTATCAGCCACTAAGAAATTGATTCTTTCTTTTGCGCTACTGTAGATGTGATACTCAAACGATCGAACACGATGAATGTATTTCTCAAAGTTTTACTGTGCACTTTTTTGGTGAAGGCCGTTGCAAACGCAACGGTCCCCACAAAAAGTGGCACTGATGCTAGAAAACCACAGTGTAATGTAAACAACTACTTTTATGCCGGACCGAATACCAAGAAGATCGAACAACAACTGGCTGATATCAGAGAAGAAATCAAGGCGCTCAAAGAAAACCGAACTAGTGGTGGCGGTTCTCGCGGCAAACGTTTGCAGCATTTTATTTAACATCTGTCTCCCTCGTTTTTGAAACATGGAAACGCGTTTATCCTGTTCTCCACACTTGTGCTTCAAGTCGCTCTCGGCTTAACACCAGCCTCGGGTTACGACACTTCATAAACGGCTCTCTTTGGCAAAATGCACTGAGTCCGTATTTTAGACCCTATTCAGCCAGGGTCGTTTTCTTTCAGAATTATTAGTTCTCTCCACTAGTATTTTGCTAGTGTGGGAAAGGAGAGTCCAATCCGTAAACAGTAAAGTAAGTCGTAGTTTCGTGAGAAAATCATAACAAGAATCCGAGCTTCATTTAGAGAATAAAATTTGCTCTTTCCAAGAAAAACTGGATGTAATGTTTGAAAAGTGTTGCTCACGTTTCACCGACTGTTCTTTTGTCAGGATACAAGAACTGTGCGAAGTTTACGAGTTCGGTACAAAGATCAATGGAGTGTACAAAATCAATCCTGATGGTTTGGGCGAATTTGAAGTGTACTGTGATCAGAAAACTGCTGGCGGAGGTTGGACAGTTTTCCAGAAGAGGCAAGATGGCTCTGTGGATTTTTACCGTGGTTGGAAAGACTACAAACAGGGCTTTGGTAATCTGAACGGTGAGTTCTGGCTCGGACTGGACAAGATTAATGGTCTGACTGTGAGCGGCCGTTACAAGCTTCGCGTGGACCTGGAAGATCTTCAGCAACGAACAACATATGCAGAGTACAGCTCATTCGTTGTCATGAGCGAAAGGCTGAAATACAAACTGAGTTTGGGAAGTTATTCAGGTAGGTCTTGTTATCACACCCCAATCTTCTCGCCCAAGGTATCAAAAATGAAGGCAAGCATGAGTTTAGTAAACACTTGCCATGTAATGTAAATTGAGCCGATATTAGGTCTTCTGTTAGAAAAAAGCCTCAGCACCCAGGCAACTACCCCGACTCGCCCCACCCCAACACCCCAGGCTGCATGCAGCCTCTCCCCAGGCCAGTTCGCGCTAAAAGAATGAGTGGAGGAGGCTTGGTACTGTACGTCCAGGGCAAATACGCCACATCCAAACTCGCCGAGCACAACTGATAATTTGAATCTGGGCTATATGATATAGGTGCAAGTTTGGACTGACTACTGTGTCAGTGTGAGTCAATTTAAAAAGCCAACTTGCGTTTTGAAACTTCTATACCTTGTAAATTTTAAAAATCTGTTTGAACAAAGAATAGATACAGGATGTAAATTTTTACTGATCACTTGGTTTCGCTTGGACAGAAACTTAGTAACATTCCAAATTTGAACCGACTACTGTGTCGGTGTGAATCAATTTAAAAAGAGATCTTTGGTTTTGAACCTTTCATTGCTTGTAATCTATTTAAACCAAATTTAACTACACGATGAATAGATATTCATAATTTTCAGATCACTTGGTGTCCCTTAGTCAAACAAGTCGTTAAATCTTAAGCCTCACATCCACCTCACAGGAAAAAAATGGGACGCTATAATTTATGGTGTAGTTGTTGACCTTTTTAAAGGTACCGCTGGAGATGCCCTTGGTTATCACAGAGGATATCCATTCTCCACCAAAGATCGTGATAATGACAGCGGAGGTAACTGTGCCCAGAACTATAAAGGCGCCTGGTGGTATAAGAGTTGCTACGTGTCCAACCCAAATGGTCTGTACCTCCATGGAAAGGATGATAACAAGGGGGTCGTTTGGCGAACATGGAAAAATAACTACTACTCTGTCGAGAGATCTGAGATGAAGATACGTCCAAAAGATTTTTAAGATTCATTACTTCTGTCAGTAAAATGGTGCTATTGCGTTAGTCCTTGCTATTGTGCTGAATTTTTAATATTGTAACTTAGGCTCAGAGTAAACTTTCAATGGCGCGACATAACGGATGAGTTGATCTCGAGAAAACAGATTACAAACGTTTTTCAGTAAAAGTCAATAAAACAACTAACTGAAAGTATTTTTTCACATTGGGAACGTGAACGTGAACGTGTTTCGCATGAGACTTCGGCATTGCTTGATCTCTATTAAGGTAATAGATCTGCTATAAGGCCCCCCAAAAAACATATCCGAAAATTCAATAAATTAAAGTTTATGTTAAATTGTAGACAAATCCAAAAACTTACGGATTCTTGTCGACTATTAGCAGAGATATGCATCGCTGAAGAACGTTGTCAAGGCCGCCATTCTGTCAAGAGATCCGACATGAAGATATGTCCGCCAAAGGATTTTGGAGTCTTGGCATTGTCAATAAGACAACCATGTCTATAATTGAATAGCACGCCAGTAGTCAGATGTAATGCTTTGGGGTGATTGCTTTTGATTTCAGTACCTGCTATCCCGAGCATTAACCTTAAGAAAGGATATTTAGACAGAGTTAAGTAAGCTGTTTGAGGCACAAGGGTCCGTCATAAGGTAGTTGACCTTGAGATATAGCACATGACGAAGTATTTTCTAAACCCCGCAAAACAACTAGCTAAAAGCATTTCTAGTTTAAAATCGTTTTAACTTTTTGTATAGCTTGATATCTATCAATTCAGAACTGAAAATCATTCTATCTGTTGGGATATTATAACAGTTGAAGACTACCGTCATAGCTGTTTTTGTGACGAAAAAGGTTTTATAAAGTTATTAGACGTTAAGTTGTGGGATTTGCGTTGAATTTCAAGGGATCGGTGCCTGAGGAAGCTCCTCAGAGTAGATGGGAAAAATATTTAACAGTGTATGGGTGGGGTGGGGCCGAGGGGACCTCGCCCCCTATTTCTATCATCAGTGTCTGAGGAAGCTCCTCAGAGTAGGTAGGGAAAATATTACACAGTGTAGGGGTGGGGTGGGGCCGAGGGTACCTCACCCCCTATGCCTGTGATCAGTGCCTGAGGAAGCTCCTCATAGTAGGTGGGGAAACTATTACATAGTGTATGGGCGGGGTGGGGACGAGGGGACCTCGCCCCCTATTTCTGTGAGGTTTTCTATTATTTTTAAAGAATAGACCATTTTACAGTTGTGGACTAAGGACCATAGCCTTCGAGTGAATGTGAGGCTGACGGTGACCTTGTTTTGATACAAACATCCTTTGCTTTGTTATGGAAATTGTCCTTGAAAAATACTAGTTAGACTTGATTTACATAATAAAGCACGAAGGTTTGTATCAAAACAAGGTCACCGTCTTCCTCGCTTTCATCTATACCTGTAAAATGGCCTATTCTCAGTATACTAAAAAGGTCTAAATTGCTGGCAATCTTCCCGGCCTTCCCCTCTGAATTTTCTGGATCGGCCACTGCAGTTTTCTATGACGGTGTATATTTTGAGCTTGTAATATGACTTTGGCCTAGGAAACTATAAATGAGGGCTTTCTGGTGAACAATTTTTTGTAATTATAAGCACTTCGTTTTGTTTTCTTATGGGAAGCTAATTCTATAAAACCTTGGAAAAGATCAAAAAACTGATTAAAATGACACGGAAGATTAATTACTGAGAAGGTACCCCTGAAGGAGACGAATCCAGGAAGGTCTCAGGCCACATTATAAATGTAGTTGAGACGAGGTTATCAATTCGACCAAAATCAACAAGATAATGCGTTACTCTGTAACGCATGAAAATATAAGTACTTTAAAATTCAACATGAGTAATGACTGTGACTTATAAATATTGACATGGCGGAGACTGATGTGGCATATATCTCTGTATACCAGTTATCAGTTTACAATCGCACAAGTTCTCGATTAATTGCGATTACTGAAACTGCAGCGGTTCATCTGTGATAAGAAACAAAAGAGTGGTATTGGAATTTCTTACAATAACGAGTGTTTTCATTCAAAACTGCAATGAAAATAATATGTCCACCTCTGTGTTATGTTAACATAGAAATTAGGAAATTCATAAAATAAGGATTGAATGTCCACGGGACTGACATAGCCTATGGCTCACTAGGAATTAAGATTTGGAAGTCAGGAAATTTAAAAGACACAAAAATTAACAAAACTTGACATTGTGTTTTGATTCCACTTGAATACAAAAGGTTCCCCTTAACAAATTGAATTATAATCACACCAAACACTGAACAGCTGATTTGTCGTTACTCACGATCCCTCCGATGTGATTGGCGAAAAAAAGTGATCATAAAACACGGTCATTAATAAGCTAGCGAGAAAAAACCCGTTTTCAAAAGAGCATGAGCCGGACTCAAGAGGAAGTTTAAGAAAGTACTAAAGAGTTATCAACCATTGAGAATTTGATTCTTTCTTGAGTGTTAGACGTGATACTGAAACGGTCGAACACAATGAATTTTTTCCTCAAAGCTTTACTGTGCGCTTTTTTGGTGAAGGCCATTGCAAAATCAGCGGTCCCCACAAAAAGTGGCACTGATGCTAGAAAACCACACTGTAACGTAAACAACTACTTTTATGCCGGACCGAATACTAAGAAGATCGAACAACAACTGGCCGAAATCAGAGAAGAAATCAAGGCGCTCAAAGAAAACGGAACTGGTGGTGGCGGGTCTAGCGGCAAAGGTATTTCTTTGAACATCCCTCTTTTCACTGTCTTTTAGCGCTCTGATCCTAGCGATTCAGTACTTTCTTAGTTTTAAGCGCGCTTATCGTCTGCAAACGATTGATCACTTGACTGTGTTTCGGTTCACGGCTTAACAGCACCTCGGAGGTTTTACGACTTTTAAAAACGGCTTCTTGCTGATGGGCAAGCGAAGTAAGTGCCAATCAGTGCGTACATTCATCTTAAATTGTTTTATATTAGCCCCGGTTCAACGAGGGTCGTTTTAAACTTTAGGATGAGTAAGTAAAGCCCACTATTCCATATCCACTGTGGAAAAGAAGAGCCCAAAACCATCAGCAAGAAAATAATAAGCTGTTCATAAATTTGCGTATAAGTATCAGGCAATAAGTTTGAGTATAGGACTCTCATATCATCATATCACTAGTACAAGAGTCCTACGGAAATTCACACGAATCCGAGTTTCATTTACAATTTTCCTTTTCCAGTAGTCGTAAGCGTTACACTGGCCGTTCTACTTTCAGTTTACAAGAACTGTGCCGAAATTTACCAGTTCGGTATAAAGATCAATGGAGTGTACAAAATCAGTCCTGATGGTTTGGGCGAATTTGAAGTGTACTGTGATCAGAAAACTGCTGGCGGAGGTTGGACAGTGTTCCAGAAGAGGCAAGATGGCTCTGTGGATTTTTACCGCTCTTGGGATGACTACAAAAAGGGATTCGGGAATCTGAACGGCGAGTTTTGGCTTGGACTGGACAAGATTCATCGCCTGACTGTAAGCGGCAGTTACAAGCTTCGCGTGGACGTAGAAGATCTTCAAGGCAGTACAGCATTTGCAGAGTACAGTTCATTCGCTGTGACGAGCGAGAGGGTGAAATATAAACTAAGTTTGGGAAGCTATTCAGGTACGTTATCACACCCCGGTTTGTGATTTTAAGCCTAATAAATCGAACATGAAGCTCAAGACGAGATTTGGTAAATAAACACCATACAATGAAATTTGAGTTTGAGGCCTTCTCACCTTTGTTCTTCCCTCCCCTTCAGTCCTCTTAACTAGAAAAGCCTCGGTGCCCTACTCGAGCTACATGCTATAATGCAATAAATTCGGCCGAACCTGCTGTATCAGTATGAGAAAACAAGCGTTTTATAACTTCTATAGCTCGTGAAACTATTATCTAGATCATATAAAAGAGATGATTACTTCGTTTGGACAGCAAACCGCTTAATCAAACACCTTGCGTGCAACTCATGAAAACTAGGACGATATAATTCACCGTGTTGTTGTTGTCTGATCGTTTTTTTAAGGTAACGCTGGAGATTCCCTCGCGTATCACAGAGGATATCCATTTACCACCAAAGATCGTGATAATGACAGCAGCAGTGGTAACTGTGCCGTGACATATAAAGGCGCCTGGTGGCACAATAGTTGCTTCCACTCCAACCTGAATGGTTTGTATCTTCACGGCAAGGTCAATGCTCAAGGAATGGTGTGGTCCAAGTGGAAACATAACGACTACTCTGTGAAGAGATCTGAGATAAAGATACGTCCAAAGGATTTTTAAGATTCAATTGTGTCGTTTCTTTCGGTAAAACAACCATGTATACGAGGGACGTTAAATAGCGTGTGATCACTAAGGTGTAATGTAACCTGAGATCAGGCCCAATTTTAGCGCTTCTCATACATTCTCTCTAACGGCTACCGCTGAAATTTCGTCTTGCCCGCCAGAATGTAATTTTCAAAGCGAAACGAAAATAGAGCCTGATCTCAGGTTAGGTGTAATGCTGAAAGGGTACTTTGCTTTAAATCTTATTGTAATCCCGCTGAGCCTTTACGTTGCTCAAGGGTCCATCTAAGTTGAACCGCGAAAGTGGATGCCGAAACTTTTTCAGTGAAAACCACTGAGTAAAACAAATAACTTCAGGCACTTCTGATCATTTCTTTCACTTTAAACTTGCGGATTGTGAGCAAGGTGTGCATTGCTTGATATCTATCAGTTCAGAAATGAAATTTTCAAACTTATCAGCTGGAATAATATAAAACAGGTTGTAAGGTTACCGCAAAAAGGAACTAATAAAGTTGTTACTAAGGTGTAGAATTTTGTGTGTGTGTGTGTGGCTAAGTTAAAGTAACATACCGGTATTTCTTTGACTGTGTAACATGATTTAAAAACTGTAGTTTTAATAGTACGAGGAGCATTAGGAGACTAGTAAGCCTCTAGCGTTTCCCGAAATTGGGTCTTACAGATAAAAATCATGACCTTTTAAAACACGTAACATCAATTTTTCGAAAAACCAAAAGCCAAGGGATGACTTGAATGTTTGTACCAACGGTTTGTACAACAAACGCAAATCTTGAATACACAATAGCAGAGTATATTTAATCCAACCAATAAAGCAGCAGATAAATCTCGAAAAACAGTTAATTACAGCGCAAGTTGTACTCCCACCTAAAACATCGGTGGGTCTGATTCATAAATTGCTGTAGTTAACGGAAACAATGTTCCAAGAAAACAAAAAAACATTGTTCCAAGTGAAAAGAAGTTGTTCACTTGCAATTTTCACAGAAAATTTCTCAGCAATTTTTAAACCTCTTTAATTTCTTCATTTCTTCGGAGGCGACCGAAGTAATTTGACTCCAGGTCAAATAAGAAACGAATAAAACCGACATGTGATAAATTACAAGCTATGAGTACTCATTTAACTGTTTTAAGCAACCATGATAACTTAACGAGAACACGTGACAGTCTCATGGATCTCACGTCCCGCACAGTTATCCGTCTCTGGTGCTTTACGCCTGTGTTGGTTATCCTGTGGTAGCTCAACTGGGGTGTTAAAATTGAGGATGTTACGGTCATCTTAGTACGGTCTGTAACGGTAATTGGAAAGCGGGTACGAATGGCGACGATCATCCTGAGGTACAAACAAAACCACGATTAACAAGTTGTCAATTTAATAACGCATGCGCGGTGATACGCTTAAAGCGCATCCGGGATAACTGAACTGGAAGGCACAGAAAAATTAAGACAGATAAATATTAAGAAGACTGAACAAAGTACTGTAGTTGTGAGGGTCAGATAAAGAATTTGGATTTACGGCAGGAGCGACAATTTAAACGGGTACCTGCCATACAGAAAGCCGAAAGAGAGAACGGACAGATCAAATACCAAGAAAGGCAATCGTTTTTGAGCACACGATCTACAGAATAAATGTTTCTGGTGACCTGATAGTACATATATATATGTTCATCCCAAAATGACAAATTCTTTGCAGCCAAGCAAGAAAGTTCAGCAAAATAGTGCAGTTGTAACGGTAAGAGGGAAATAAAAGAATGACATTTGAATTAAGGGTAGGAGCGACCATTTACGAAATAGATCCTTGCAATAACGAAAAACAAAAAAAGAGGACATTACCTAACTAAATAATAAAGCAAGAAGATTTCGCGTGCTCTTGTACGGCATCGCTTCCTTACTTGGGAGAATAAGGTTTTTGATCGTTTAACTTACCCTGTTGGGAGGTCCTTGTCGATTGTAATGCTGCTGCTGCTGCTGCTGTCTAGGGTCACGTGACGAATGTTGATAGCTACCGCGAGAGTACTGAGATTGACTCGACCCAGGTCCTCGAGAGTACGCGTTTGATTGTGACCAGTTTCCTTGGTAATTGCTCGAGTTGTACTGGGATCTGTTACCTTGGTAACCCCCTGAATTGTAATAGGATTGGTTGCCTTGGTAACCTCCCGAGTTGTACTGTGGAGCGCGATTTCTGTCATAGATCTGTCGTCTTGGGTCATGATTACCACGTGACGATACAGGTGTACTCGGATTGGATGTTGGACGATCAGGGTAACCATGCCTGGAATCATTCTGCGGAGGGCATGAGTTCGACCGAAAGGGCGGCACATAGCTGGCAGGAGTGTAGGGACGAAAAAGATCCCCTTTGTGAAAACTGACAAGAAAAGAGAGGAAAAGTTGTCATCAAAATGCTACCCTAAAAAGAGAACAACTTATATAGCTTCCTTCAGATGCGATATTAGAAATTTTTAGATTACACCAGGACAGTAGAAACCTTCAAACCACAACCACGTCCCCAGAGTTAGCCTTCCACGAAGAAGTTCTTTTGGCTCGTCACGCAATCCTCCCCAACGCGTGACGAACCGCTAAGTACGTCTGTGTGGGAGGCTACCCCAGAGTAGCTTGTTGGAAGCTCCAACGGTTAGATAGCGGAGTGCAGTGCGAAGTGAGAGAGTGGGAAAAAAAGGAGAAAGTGAGGCTGTTTTTTTTTCCTGCTCACACCTTCTCTGCGCCGTCCACACAATCTGATCGCCTGGAACAGGCTGTCTGACCCAGGGCTTTTCCCTTTTCTTTGGGAAAAAGCCCTGGAGACGAGATTACACAGAAACGTGGGGACCAGGTTTGTGCCTCACATCCACTTACTCTTTAAGTTTATTTTTTGTCTGAAAAAAGGATATGTTTATCACATGCATGTCACCCTATCAGGTGACACAACAGAACACTAATTGAGTCATATAAAGCACAGTCACCCCATCAGGTACCACTACAGAACACTACTTGAGTCATATAAAGCACAGTCACCCCATCAGGTACCACTACAGATGACTACTTTACTTACTTAAGCATCCGCCGCCCCGCATCGCCCAAATGAGCAAACGAGGTTCTGTTAGCGTTCATTCCAATAACTGGTCTGTATGGCCTGTTACTATCATAACCTTCTGGCTTGAGAACACGAGCAGGGGGACTGGTGAAGAGAAAATCACAGGCGATGCTTTAGACTAAGGAATAGTTATTGGATCTTTATGCGTTTCTGGGAAACTGCCCACCCACCCCTCCCCTAAGCCAACATCAACACTTACTTGTCACATAGGGCAAAATGTTGGTTTAGGGGAGGGGTAGGTAGGCAGTCTTCCAGAAACGTATAATGATCTGAGTTATTACGATACTAAAAAATAAAGAATTACATGTCAATCGCGATTTGTAGGACGACTAGCAAACGATCTGGCCTGATAATCCGTTATACAAGAAATTTTACCCATACTGCTTGCATTAAGTGCAAGTTGCACCTGGAAAAAACAAGTACTGTATGGGCGTCCATAATCGAATTGCAGAGAACTGGTCTGACCATGTGATCATCTAGTAATCTGCTTATACACAGATGGAACTCCCTGTAATGACACTACAGGGGGGAAGTTCCACCCAAAAGGGGTAATCCAGGGAAGAGGTATCTGGAAAATTGTAGGAAATTAACGAAATGGCAGATAGAAAAGGGTAAGGAATATAACTTTTCAAGCGTTTGAAAGGGTCTTTCAAAGTACAGTGCATTTGTAAAAGGCACGATCGATGGCTAATTTATGTTATTATTTTAAAAGGTCACACATAAGGAACATGAGGCAAACTCCCACAGTTAATTACAAAAAAACCCTTTTGTAGGTTCATGAAGGGGGTATTATTTTCTTGGTAAGGTATATAAAGGGGTAACTTTTTATTGACACTTTTTTAGAAGGGGAAGGGTTTGGACATCGGAGGGGTAAGGTTGGACAACGGGGGAGGCAAGGGTTGGACATACGAGAAGGGAGGGGTTTGGACACTGGTGGGGGAAGGGGGTATCCCCGTACCATGGAATGTTTTTGAGGCCCTAATGAGGTACACATAGATAAAAATGTGACTACATGCAGCATTCAATATAAAAATAGCAATAAAAATAGTACTCAATGGGTATCTAACTTTCACTTACTCTCCCTTAGGTAAGATATCCGCCTTAAAAATATGATCCATATCATAAACAGGGTCGATGAAAAACACACTGAAAGTGAACAATTCAAAAATGCGACAAAGAATTAATTTTCAACATTACACTCTGTCAGAAAAACTTATAAAAAAGAAAAATGAATCGCGTCTGAGTCATATGTGCTATGCAGTTCCCAGGTTTCTCTCCTACTCTCACCCGAGAGAACGACAAAAAGAGGACCCTGGGAAGGAGTTTGACATGCTATGTTGTGTTTGTGATGTTGATGTTATTGCTGTTTACCTGATAGTTCTGTTATCCCTGAGGTCGTAGAGTTGAGGAACGGGCGAAGGAACTGTTCTGAAAAAAAAAATTGAAGGAAACCCTGTTTATTAAGCTGTCAAAGATAGTTTAGTTTGTTTAAGTCTGTGAACATATCAGAGCTCATACTTTTTTGGCTCTTCATAAGAGAATAGCACTGGCCAGTTGGAGGTCGCGTAAGAGACCAGGCTGGTGTAGTATCGAACTGCACATTGGGACTGTTTTGCAAACGCTAGTTAACAGATTGCATAAGCAAAGAAACCTAAACAGATTCGCATGGATAAGGTCTTAAACCCATGTAACTAAGGGCCTGTTTACGCGGAGGTGGGGGACCCCAGGTAGGTGAGGTAACCCACTTAGGTAGGGTAACCCACATGTCCATATAATCTCCCATTTTAATTTGATCACGTTTACATGATAGATGGGGTGACCACATAAGAGATTATATGGACAGGCGGGTTACCCCACCTAAGCGGATTACCTCACCTACCTGGGGTCCCCCACCCCCATGTAAACAGGCCCTAACAGATAAATTTGTTTAATGCTATCATCTTAATAAAAGCTTCCACTGTTGAACCTCCACGCATGGCGACTTCTTTTGTAAGCGACCACCTCTCCAAAGCACAAAAATTTTCCCTGTCAAAGCCCTATAGTTGGATCCTCTCATGAACGACCACCTCTCGTGCGCGACCGCAATAACTATTTGAAGTACTGGTTTTATTATTTTCCACTGTTTTAAACCTCTTGTAAGCGACCAATTGATAAACGACCTGATCTCCATGTTTGCTGTATGTACTATACTACACAGAGTACACAAAGGACCTTTAATGACAATACATGGAGCTACACATATCATGACATGCAGATGTAGATGTGTCCGAACCTCTTCTCGGAAGAGCCCCCATAATGGTTCACGTCTTGTAAACGACCAATAAACCTTGACAATTCGGGTGGTCGCTAGCGAGAGTTTCGACTGTAACTCGTTCTTTTTAAAGGTCTTATATTAGTGATCATTTCGTCTTAATATGACCAGTGCATGCCATTCAACAATTACTCATCTGAATGAACTTACTTGTGAGGTAGGATGGGGCAATCATCTGTCTGTACCTTGCCTGACATACCCCCTGTTAGGTCTGCTACTACGTCAACTGCCTAAAAGAGACAACACACCAGATATGAGCAGTTAAATCTCTGCTGTGAGGCCACCATAGCTCGGGGAAGGTACAAGTGGCCGCTTGTGTATGGCCGAGAGGTTAGAATATTGGACTTGCTATCCAGAGATCCCAAGTTAAGTCCTCCCTTCCGCTTGACCGCTAGCTGGATTTGTTCTCAGAAGTTCTGAGTTCGGATACTCGAATGGTTTGCATCAAGCAGGAAGAAGCAATAACCTTTAAAAATACATTGTAGAGGGTTACCTCTTTAATGCCGTCTCCTTCATATAAACCAACGAAGAAGTCAAATGTAGGATTTCCCTGACGAACGAACAGACGATCTTTACCACGACTGTTCCGCTTCTCTGAAATGAGACAAATAAACCAAAGAATGGTTAGGGAGCATTCATAATTTATTAAGCTAATAGCTTGTGAAATGAGTACATCTCAAAGTTTTCACTACGTCACCACATTACTGTGGTGTCACGCAAGACAAGCTGAAAATTGCAGCTCAGTCACGCTTAAGGGAAGGTTTTACGAATACGCTACACTAAAGATTATCACTGTTACTGTTGTGTCATGAAAAAAAAAAAAGTTTTCAGAACGTTACTTAAGGACCAAGGCACCTTCCTAAATAGGTACCACCTGCTATGAAGCATTGCTATAAGAAATGAAATATTGCACTTCAACTTACTTTCCATATCTGTTAAATCAGGATATACATTACTAAGAGCGCCTAGCAGTCTCTTCTCGTCAACAAACGGTAGCAAAGCAACACCTGTGGTGAAAAATACATGGAAGATGTTACTACTGGGTCCAAGAGAATGCCATTCATGTTTTCTTTCCCCTTCAAACAACTACTATGTTAACCAGTAGCCTCTTGGTAGGTGCATTTCTAACCAGTTAATTTTATTTGATTGGTGTGCCTGTGTATGAGTGGCGGAGCCAAGTACTGCTTTCACCTGAGAGAGGCTCAAACAATTCATCGTGTTGCGCTGTGTTAGTGCATGTTTCTTAAGTTCTTAAGGGTACCTTGCCAAGCATATTTCTTTCCATTGAGGTCAATCTCAAAGTCCAAAGGATAAAAGTCAATTATTGCCGAATCCTGAAACGCAAAGAGTAATCAATCATTAATAAATCAATCATTCAATCAATCAATGAATATACTATTTAAATAATAAACATCAACGAACATATCAACTAAACAGTCAATCGACCAATAAAATACTGAAATATAAAAATCAATGAGAAAAGAAGACTTTCCACTTACCGGATGTGACATAAGTTCTCTCCAGGTGGGAGGCAGAAATTTCCCACTGGCTGCTGGGAACACACCCATCAACTGCTCCAAAGGTTTGAACTGAAATCAGAGTAAAGAGAAAACGAATCAAAGAACGCTGTAAACATGATTCAGAGGCTTCAGACCTAGAAGAATAAATACTATTCAAACCAACAAGGCAGCTATTTCTGTACATATAGAAAAAAAAGATGGACAAATAATGAAGTGCAAATATTCAGAATTCCACTACACACGTTAATTACACTGCGAGTTGTCCCTTATTTTCTTTAAAGTTACGACATGAGTAGCACGTGTAACACTCACGCCGGAGTAACACATGTAAAAAAGGCGCAAGTGGTGAGCGATGATGCCTCGTGCCACAAGAAAAGTTTGTTAACCACATTTTTTCCCTCAAATTTTCACTGGTAATACGAACTTGACAGATATCAAAGAAAGATGGAAAGCAAACAGTCTTGTATATAATTATTGGATAACATTAAATGATATTCAGTTACCGGTTGTGTTCCACGTTCAAATGAGTTGGGAAGCGAACCAAGATCACGAAAATCAGATGCAAATGGTGCATAATGATAAGGATAAAACCACTTCCACGATGGACATCCCTGAAGAAAAAAAAGTGATGGTTATGTTATAAAAAGAAAACCGTTAATTTAAGACCCACGTCCTGCCACCTTAAATTTACAGGCCAAAAATTCGTGTCCATTAGTCCTCACGGATGGGGGTGTCCTGTATTACTTTCTACCCCTCCTCAATGTGAGGGTGTTTTGGCCACTTCTTTCAGTACTATAAACTCCAAATTAATAGAAACAGCTTCATTAATTACTTACCTGATAATAGTAAAGTAAAACCCAGCAGAGTCCTTCTACATAAGCGTCAGCCTTGTCAAAGAAAGAGAAAAGAAAAGAAGGCGGTGTTAAAAATTTCTCCAGCCTTTTCTACCAAATTTTTAACAAAATTTCTTGCACTTTTGTTTCCAGTAAATAACAATCAACATGGTGAATCTAGAATGTTACCACTTTCTTCCGGAAATCATCATATCCTTCTTCATTCTCAGTTATATGAAACTTGTTTTGATAATAGCGACCCTTCCAACCTGCTTCCCATAACCTGATAATGAAAAAAAATAGGTACTGTAAATCCTCTATTAAGCCCCCCTCTCAAATAAGCCCCTCCTCTAATAACCCCCCCACCCTTTCAGGGGAAGAAAGTTAATAAGCCCCTCCTCTCCCCCCTCCCCTCTCCTAAATATTCTTCACTAACAAATGATAAGACTGTTTTAATCAATTATGACTGGAAAACTTCGTGTGGACTGATCCGGGATGGTTTATTTACCAACTGGAAGTTCGGATTTGATTCTAATCCTCGGCTGCATAACCTCCAACCTTCTTGTACTTGAGCTTTTCCACTTTGTATTCTAGTTATTTATGGAGAACTGATACCATAGTCTTTTCTAAATTAAGTAAGCTCTCCCTCTCAAATAGCCACCCTCATATGGTTGTAGGATTTACAGTAAGAGGTCAGGGAATAGTCCCATAGTAAAGGCAGTCAACACTGTCACTTATAAAAGACAACAATAATTTAGAAACTGGACATCTTTCTTAAATGGACTTGAATTTGTCCCTGTCACCCTTGAGTCCTTTGTTTGACTTGCTGCAATATAAACACCCCCCTTAGATGGACACCAAGATGATCACCCAGGCATCTTTATTGACTCTGTATAAGGTGGACACCTATCCTGCATGGACACTTCCCTTAGTACTGGATGCAATGGTACTAGAATAACCCCTGTTAGAGTATTGGGTTGGGAAATGCTGTTGTAGTACCCACACCTCATATAATTAGACAACAACAACCAAACACCACAAAAAAACCTTTGGTATCCAGGGTATAATTATATCGCAGTGCTTATTAAGCTGATAGCCTGCAGGTTATGTCTTTCTTTTCCTGTTTTTTTTTGAAGGGGAGAAAAGTATACCAACAAACACGTTCACCAGTCAGCTCGCACACGTACATTAACTGAGGACGAAAAGGAATAACTAGTATTGCTGACAGTATATTTAGCCAACTTTACCTGATGTCATCCTTCGGTTCATCATCATCATCGTCATCTTTCTTTCTCTTGTTTGATACAGGGACAGAATTGGGTGTACTTGCAGCTGATGACTACAGTTTAAATAAAGTGATAGAAAATGTTGGTAAAAATACATGTAAAACAGGATTAAAAAAATAATAACAACATGATAAGGAATGCAAAATAAATTTTCCTTTGCACAGTCAATAAAACAGCCTAGCTAATTTATGTAAGGTTGATACGATTACAACTAAAATATTTTAAGACGGATTATAAAGAGTTGATGCCTAGCAGTACACAAGAATTGAAAATAAAACCATCAAATTTTAAGAAAAATCCCTTACAGAACAATACAAAGGGAGTTTAGAAAGATACAAATCAGCAGAACAAGTCATCTGATATCAAGAAACCGAGGAGTACATGTAGGCTGAAACCTGAGAACCACATTTGTGGTAATTACAGTACATTGTAAATGACATACATATAGCAAATTAAAGTTGGAAATCATCACTCTGGTTTGCATCAAACATTAGTCCACTTTGCTCCAGACCAGCAAGGAGCAAATGCTGTTGTGCAGGTGTGCAAGTCAACACTAACAGAAACATACTATTATATATGACAAAGACGTTTGTACATGAAAAAAAACTATTCACTTGTATTTTACTCACCATACTTGCATTTGGAGAAGGTGTAGTGAGCATAGCTCTCAAGTCTGCTCCTGCACTCTACAATAACAAACAACAATAACTGCAGTTATTATTTTCCAGTATAACCCTGAATAATATGAAGCAGATACCAAGATATAAAGATATAAAAAATATATGAAACAATCCACTGGATGTGAACTTTTACCTTTACAGTCTAGAGGATTACCTAATGTCAAATTCAATGTGCCTACAATGTTAGAGTGGTTTTCGTTTGAGTGTCGTAAAACCAAAACCAAAGTAATTACTCTGGCCAATCACATAGGACACAGACAATACACTGAACCAATCAAAACTCGAAGTAATTACATGTGGCTGACGCAAAGCGCGGGAAAATGCATGCGAGCGCGTCACAATTGGCTTTGGTTTTACTTCTGATTGGATGAAAAGGTGGCGCGAATCTTTTAAGCCAATCGCATCGTGTAGAAAGTGCAAAACCAATTACTTTTCGACACTCAAATGAAAAC